GGGGAATGGCGCTGCTCTCCTCTGATGAACCACCAGTGCACACTTTTTCTGTCCTAACCTGATCCAGGGGTTCTGGTTCTTGCTTCACTCCTAGATTGTTTCCTTAGAACCCAGTGCCAGGGCAGATGGGTCATACTGAGCAGGGTGGGGGAAGGGAAGAAAGGAGGAAGAGAGATCGAGAGAGCGAGAGAGACTTCCATTCAGCTGTGGAGAATAGCAATGGCTCAGGATGAGTATGGTAGGTCATACCTATCATCCTGGCAACTCAGAAGGCTGAGCGTTATGCAGCAGAATCCTCTTGACTTAAAACGTTCCACCCTGGAGTGAAGCTAGCTAAGACCTGGATGTTAGAAAGGGGGTGAACCTAACACGATGTTTTCCAAGTGGAGGTGAAACATTCCACCCTGTGTGGAGCTTTAAGCACAGAAGTAAAGGCTTCAGGAAGTCCCTGAAACCGATCAGAACCACTAGGCGCCTTCCTCCCTCAAGTATACATAAGCTGTAGGGACTGCTGAGAGGCTCTCAGACCCCAGAGCTGCCTGGAAGGACCGTCGACCAGCCAAGCTGCCTGGAAGAGGCTCGATCAACTGAGCTATCTGGAAAAGAAGTTCTTCAACTACTTAAGCTTCCAGCTTTTGTGAGCTGTCACCCATGCTGAGATGGGTTTTGCTGAGGTGGCTGTCTTATGTCATTTCTGCTCCTATGAGTAAGCCCTCACCCATATTCCTGTAGGCAACCTCACTAAAACTCATTGGTTCGCCAAGTTGGACTGTGGGAACATCCATACTTTGTCATTGTCCCTATCTGGGGTGAGCAGACACTTGTTCTCACTTCCCAAAGGAGAGTGTCATACAACATTGAGACAGGAGTTGCCTGTGCAATTGAGGCTGATTACACAGTGAGAGTCTGAATCAAACAGCAAATGAACAGAAGGGCAGGGGCAGACAAGGGGAGCCATGGAATGAAATGCTCATGGCACTGTCTGTGAGGTTGGTGGTGGTGGGTAGGACCCTGGCTGGTCACAGATCCTACCATCTGATGGCAGAGTAGTGGAAAGCACCTCCCAGCAGTGAGCATGGCCTCGGGGTATGCCTCACTGACCTTGGAAGGGTCAGTGGGTCTCTCAGGCAACTGCAGCATAGACCTCAGCTTGCTTGCTTGTTTGCCCCTCCTGAGTGCTGGGGCTAAAGGCGTGTACCAAGCCAGGCAGACCTCCTTTTCTAACTCAGAAGGATTAAAGGCCAGCCTGCATGGGCCTGCTCTGACACATTCATAAAGTCTTCCTTAGGAGATGACATTCAGATGGTGAACTCCTGATCTAGCCAACAGCCCCCACTCTGGGATGCTCCTATCCATGCTAATAAGGTCAGAAGGCCCCCCTCTTACAGATCCCATGACTGTAGCTCTCCTGTTCAAAACCTGATTCCCAGGAGGTAAGATGCTGTGGGCTTCCTCCTCCAGCTGACCCACAATCAGGATGCCACAGGCTTGGAAGCTCAGGGTCAGGATGATCAGAGCCATAAGCTACAGCTGGAAGGCTTCCTCCCGTCTCTGTGGTCTCCATTAACTTTGCTCATTTATTTAACTTCTTAAAGCAGTAAAAAGCTTGGCCGCAGCCATCAGCTCAGAAATAGTGAATGTACTTTAATGAGGAAAAAAAGGATATTGATCTGAAGAAGAGAGATCTCTAGCTTAGGGCCATTCATTCATCATTTACAATAAGGCAGAGCATGTGACCCAGGCCAATCTGGATAGAATTCAAACCTGGGTTTCATTGGGAGGAGAAGGACCAGTTGTCTTCCTGGAGGGTAAGGAATGACAGTTAAGAACTCAGTTCTCATTTAAAATTTGTAGGATTGGTTCTTTATTAATCTGTAGAGAGGGTCTCAGACAGCTTAGTATAGTCAACTGAGGCTGGCCTTAAACTCCCGGTCTGCCTGCCTCCACCTCCTAAGTGCTTGGGTTGTAGGCATGTGCCACTGTGCCAGATGTGACTTAAACATCTGTGTCGCCAAGCATGATTCATTATAAAATATTAGAATTATAAAGTCTTGAAACAAAAAGTATCTTGGTTACTTTGAAATTGCTATGACAGCACATGATGACCAAGGCAAGTTATACCAGAAAGCATTTAATTTGGGGTTCATGGTTCCAGAGGATTAACCCGTGACCACCATGGTGGGGGGCATGGAAGCAGGCGGGCAGACATGGTAGTGCCTGAGAGCCCATATCTCCAGAAAACAACCATGAGGCAGAGAAAGAAAGTGAACTGAGAACGGCATGGGCTTTTTGAAACCTCAAAACTCACCCCCAGTGACACACTCCTCCAACAAGGTCACACTTCCTAATCCTTCCCAAACAGTTCCACTAACTGGGGACAAAGTATTCAAATATATGAGCCTGTGGGGGAGGGGGTATTCCCATTCAAACCATCACAGAAAGGGACCTTACCAGTAAGAGCTCAGTATAGGGACAGCATTTCCGAAGTCACTTAACAGTGATGTACATTCTCACTCAGCTCCTGGGGGACTGTGGCTTTCATTGCCGTTTGCCTGTGGTCACACAGCTCAAGCCTGTTGGACCAGACTCCAGCTCTTCTCATTGTAGTGTGCGTTAGATGAAACGACCTGCTATTCTTCCCTCCTTAGGATTCTTTGCTTTGAGTCAGCCCAGGGTGGCCTCTTCCATCTTCCTACCTTAACCTCCTGATCATTAGGATTATAGGATTACACCCTCCCTGGGAGTGTACACACACACACACACACACACACACACACACACACACACACACACACTCCCATGTGCAGAGGCGAGGGAAAGACATCAAGCTGTGTGTCCTAGTCTAACATTCTTTGCTTTGCTCCTTTGAGTCAGACTTTCTCATAGAATCCGGCCTCATGGATCTTCCTGTGTCTGATCTGCCCAGCGTGGGGTTACAGGTGCATGAGGCCACATCTGGCTTTGTTCATCAATGCTGGGGATTTCAACTTAAGCCCTCATTCTTGCACAGCGAACATCCCTAGCCAGTGAGTCATCCTCCCACTTCCCCCTTGGAATTCTTAAAACACACACACACACACACACACACACACACACACACACACACACACACATCTATGGCTGAACAGACGGCTCAGCAGTTAGGAGCACTGGCTGCTTTTACAGAGGACCCAGGCTCAATTTCCAGCACCCACATGTGGGCTCACAACCATGTATCCCAGGACCCAACACCCTCTTCTGGCCTCCATGGGCGCTGCATGCACAGGGTGCACAGACATACATTCAGGCAAAACCCTCATACACATAAGATAAAAATAAATTTAAAATGTTTACTTTCAACATTTCTGTCTCTTCCTTCCCTCCCTCCTGTGTGCTGTGCATGTGCCGTGGCATACGTGTGCAGGTCAGAGGGCAACATGCCGAAGCTGGCTCTCTCCTTCTACCACAGGGGTGTTGAATTCACGTTTTCAGGCTTGCTGGCATGTGCCTTTACTTGCCAGCTCCTTCCCTTGAGTCACCTTCCACAGTAGGTACTAGTGAGCTATAGATTTGTTTTCCTTTTTCGAGACTGTGGGGTCAAACCCAGGGCTCTGGGCACATTCTACCATTACACCATAGCTTTAACCATTGCTTTTTTGAGACATGATTTTCTATGTATTCCAGGCTGGTCCTAGACTCATCCCCTCCTGCCCACTAGGATTACAAGCATGTGCCACTATGCCCAGTGTAACTAGGAATTCTATTTCTATTGAAGTCAGTGGTATCATAAATAACAGTAAATTTTTAATGCTTTCTGTTTATTCTTATTAGTTTTTTTTTTTTTTTCAGTACAAGGTACTGAACTTAATAGGCAAGTGTTCTACCATGGAGACAACCCCAGTCTTTTACTTGATTTTAATACTTAAAAAAAGGGGGGGTTGTTTATAGTATGTGTTTGGGTGTTTTGTCTGCATGTGTGTCTGGAGACCAGAAGAGGGCGCTGGACTGGAGGCACAAGAAGTTGTGAGCTGCCGTGTGAGTGCTGGGAACTAAACCCAGGTCCTCTGCACGAGCAATAGGCACGCTTACCTGCTGACCCATCTCTCTAGCACCTTCTAAATACATTTAAAACGTTCACTTATTTATTCAGTACAGCTGCCTGTGCTCTGTAGTAATCGCAAAGGGCACCCGCTGAATGCTCCCTCTGAGCAGCACTTACACTGGTACCGAAAGCACACCAACTCCCTCTGCTCCCACAATGGGGGAACCGCCCACTTTCCTAGAACAGCCTGGAAACAGGCTGAGAATGTGGAGTGGGCGCATAGAGCTAGACAGGGCTCTGAGCCCAAACAGTCTGGATGCCCGTATACCAACAGCACTAATGAGCGTCTTCCAGGGGGCCTGCACTATAATCAGTATAAAAGACAGGACAGAGAGGCCCTGGGTTCAGAGAGCACCACGCCTCCCAAACAAAACCAAACCAAAACACAAGCACAAAGGCTCTGGTTTTTAACATACTGCTGTTCCTGTCTGCTCTTTGACATCGGTTATTTTGGTGTTGTGTATATACAACACACACACACACACACACACACACACACACACACAGAACAACCAGAGCGTACACTGGCATCTATTAAAACATATGTGAATAAGCAAATGTGTATTCCAGATGCCACTGGGCTCAGAACTGAGTCAAGCCACACTCAAAATTAAAAACAAACAAACAACAACAACAACAAAAAACCGCTCCTCCTACCCACATCCCTTCAGCACTCGGCTCCTAAGCTGGTAGAAATGGTTTAACCAAGACTTTATAAACATGGATGCATTCTGAAAGGGGCAGAGCCTTGGCTGTGAGCCCTCGCCCTCTGCCCCAGACGATGCTCTAGCCCCAGCAGTGAAGTCACTCTGCATCTCCCACCCCAGCCAGGAAACACCAGGTCCCAGGTGGGTTTTGTACAGACATCTTCCTTTGTAAGTGGAAGAGGCCTCCTCCCTCAGCCCAGCCCCAGCCTTACCCTGCAGTACTCGTCAATGGGCTTCAGTCTCTTCACAGCCACGTCCCGGATGTGGCTTCTCCGGAAGAGGATCTTGCCTGGAAAGAGAGCCTGGTGAGCAGCAATTCTGGCTGAAGCTGCCATTGAGATACTCCTGTTCCCTCACCCCTTGGATTTTCAACTGGTCCCTGTGTGTACCACATCAGCCCACTACCAACAAAGCAAGAGAGAAGCTGTCACCTCTCCCAGGGGGCAGGAGGCGCCCAAGGCTGAGGGCCCAAGGCCTCTCTCTGGAGGCTGCCATCTTGGGCCTGTATGAACAACCCGATCAGCTCACCTTGTCTGGGTCTGTGGCAAGATCAATGCCCAATGCTAGGGTGTGGCTTTGTAGTGACCTCACAAGTAAATATGAGAAGAGGCCCAACCCATATGCTATGTTTTGTCTTCCGGCCCCTCCTTAAGAGATCAGAATTCCTTTCTGCTAGCCAGGCTCGGGATTCCTATTCTTAGCTTAGGTGGTGGCTATTTCCAGGATGAGGCAAACACCTAGAGACTATGGATGTTCCAGTCAGATTGTCCCCTGGCCTCTCTGAACACAAAGCCTGCAGCCATTTGGGTTGGGCCATCCCCCAATAGGTATGGGCAAGGCCTACAGGAAGTCCTGGTCCCTCAGGTCTCTCGAAGTCATAAAGAACAAGTCAGTGTGTTCAGTCATCACAAACACATCAACACATGGTCACATTCAATCATGAGTAGAGCAATAGATGGTTCTTTTCCAGTCTCGTAAATGCAGATGGTTCTATCCCAGAATTCCCAAGGTGGGGACTGAGCCCCTCACATACACTGTAAATGCTCTGCTACTGAGTTGCATCCTCAATCCAGCCTGTCAAACTTAGAACTCACTAGTCTAATGCTCAAGGCCTTATACACTGAGACCTCTGGGCCCAGTGGGGGTCAGTGTCCGGAGCCAATGGCCATCCCCTCTTCAGAAGGCCTTGCTTGAGGATTTCATAGCTGGAAATTATCTTCCTCCTTCTAGAATATCCACAACACAACACATCACCCATTCCTGAGGCACCTGCTCATGCTGCTGTGTGTTATAGCACAGATGACACACTAAGGGGCCCACGGAGCCAGCAGGTGACCGAAGGGCACACCTGAAGCTGATACACCTATCTGCTGTCCCATCTGCCCCACTGTCCTTTGGAGAAAACCTCCTCCATGTTAGATCTTTGCCAATAAGGCTAACCACATCGCCTGGCAGCAGGTAAGCATGGCACAGCCTAGTCAAACAGAGACACAGTGATTGGTTCAGTCATGGGCAGGACCCAATCTGAGCCAACGAGGTTCAGCCCTGAGCCTTCTCTTTCCCACAGCGCACATTGGGGAAGATGAAAGCCTGGCATCCCCAGTGGCCAACTTTCTTATTTTGAGAAGGAAAAAAAATGCCTGGCACGGCATGAGCTCAATAAAGGCCTATTGAGTGACACAGTCAAGAGACTGCTGGTGAGAGGCAGATTCTTCCACCGCTTCAGTAGCAGATGTGGCTGTTTCTGAGTCCAAGGCTATCTCTGGACCTTTCAGTCGTGTTTCTGTCAGGGTCCAAGTGAAAGATTAGTTGAGGCCTTAGTTCAGGCTGTTCAACCCACAGCAGCCCCAGAAACAAGGGTTTTAGTGTATGTCACCCATGAGAAAGCACAGTGAACATCCCTGGGAGAGAAGAAGGCAAAGCTGGGAGGCAGGGGCTCTCGGTGGGCAGCTGGTGCCTGGTCCTGTGGGGCCGCCGCAGAAGGTGAATTCAGAGTTCCCCTCAGGGTCTCCCTCAGAAGCTGGAGACTTGGGTAGCTGGCGGTGATGAGCCACTAGCTCCCCTGTATCACCAAAGGCTGTGCCCAAGGGCACCCATTCTGCCACTTCTGGCTAAGGCTTCCTTCAGGTGAGCCCAGCTGTGCCATAAAGCAGAGCAGAAGGGACCGTAGGGAACCTTGGGTCCTGCAGGAAGAGGCTGCAGTGGCCTCTGGCTTCCCTATCACCACAGCAGAAGTCACTAGCCCTGCATGGGTGAGACAGGATCACCGGAACACGGGGTGAGTGTGACCTGCTTCCTGTCTGTACATCTCTCATCTTTCAGTTCGTGGTCTACAGCGCATTCCCCAGTCTGCCCCCGTGATCCGCCCAGAATAGCCCGTCATACAGCACGCACTCCAGTAAGCACCTGCTGGCACACATCCCCCCCCCCCCCGTCCCCACCTGAGCATCTGCCCCAAGTGCCCTTCTTCCATGTTCTGTTGAGTCAAGTGTCTGTCCACCAGCAAGAGCTCCACCATGGGATACCCTTGCAAAGAAGCAAAAACCGTAGCCGGTGTGGTAGCAGACTCCTGTAATCCCAGCACTCGGGAGGCAGAGGCAGGAGGATCGCTGTGAGTGCGAGGCCAGCCTGGTCTACAAAGCGAGTCCAGGACAGCCAGGGCTACACAGAGAAACACTGGACCAAAAAATCCAAACAAAAAAAGAAGACAAAAGGTGATTTATTAACACCGTTCCTCGTGGGGGAAATGTCCTTGGTGCTCCTGCCTCTCCGTCTCTAATCTTCTCTGGCTGCCTGTCACTTAATTGCTATGTCACAGGTGCATATGTGTGTGGCTGTGGGGGATGCTGTGTCAAGTGGCCTTCGTCATTAAGCTGAGGTTTGGTACCGGGAGCCCACTCTCAGGACTGATAAAATGACGGGTGTCCCTGGGCTAGAGCTCTGGCTTCCCACCCAAGCCAGCCAGAAGTCTAGAGGTGCCCAGCGGGACCCTGACGGACCATGTGAAGAACGGAGGAAATGAAGGGCAGCCTAGAGAGAGACCTACCCTCCAGTGGTGGCACCCCTACCCTCTCTCATCCTGTAAGATGACGGGGGAAGGGAGGAAGGCGGTGTGGAGGTGACCTGGGTTCCTCTTCTAGCCTCCATCCCAAAGCCAACTGTACCTCTCCTTGTCTTACAGGGCTGTAGTGGGGACTAGTGGAAGACAAAGGAGATGCACTTCAGGCCTCCAGGAAGTGCAGAGGCTTGGGGGAGGGGAGGGGAGGAGAAGGCTCCACCTGATCGAAGCTCTCCTGGCTGGTGGAAGGAAGGCCTCCACGCTATAGGTGAGGCCCCTAGGCCCTTCACAAGGCTCAGGAGTTGGCTGTTCCTGTGCAGGGCAGCCCGAGATTGGCCTCTCTGAACCCTGGAAGGGTGGCTTTCTTGAGCAGCACTTCTGTTCTGTACTTGGGCCTAGTCAGCCCACAGGGATGAGGGAGGGGAGGCCTGGAAGACATTCTACGGTTTTGACTTTTCCGTGAGGAATCCAAACCGCACTGGGAAAGCCAAACCAGGAACCATATTAAAGGGAAAGAGGAAAAGCAGGGGGAGGGAAATCCCCATTAAGGAAGCCGTGACCACAGGGCATTAAAGGCTTCTTGTAAACGGCCTGCAGCCCCTTTACAGCAGGCTTGGCTGCTGCCACTCTTCAAAGCCTCGAGAAGCTGCCCCAGAAATACGATCAGCACCACAAGGCAGATTACACTGTGACCTGAAATAGACCCAACTCAACAGGACTTGACTTGTTCCTGGAAGGCAGTAAGAAGGCTGGAGAAACTGAGCAACCAATAGTATCTGGGAATTGGGTGGAAGGCTGAGGATGTGGGGCCTCAAGCAAGAGTTCTGGGTTCCTGTTGTGCCTAACTCACAGGCAGTTATGCGACTATAGCACATGCCTCCTTGCTGGGACCTCTGCATTCCGTCAGAACCCAAGCTCTACCAACTCTTGAGAGGAATCCCCCGTGGGGTCGGGAACCCCAAAAGTGGTAAAAAGGTACGGGTGATGAACAGTATCAGTAGCTAAGGGTTTTTCGGAGCTAGGTGATCAAACCTTGCAACAGCCTTTAAGAAGTACCTTTGTTAATTTATTTTAAGATTTAAAAACATTTTAAACTGCTGGGCGTGGTGGTGCACGCCTTTAATCCCAGCACTCAGGAGGCAGTGGCAGATGGATCACTCTGAGTTTGAGGGCAGCCTGGCCTACAAAGTGAGTTCCAGAACAGCCAAGGCTACATCAAAAAACCCTGTCTCAGGTGAACAAAAAAAAAAAACCACTTTTTAATTATGTGGGTGTGGGTCTCTGTGAAGGGGTATGTGCATGCACACACACACACACACACATACATGAACATGAGTCTGACATTGTGTATGCCCACATGCAGAGGTCAGGAGAAGTCAGGGGATAACAATCAGAAGTCAGACCCCAAGGGTCCCAGGGATCAAACTCAGGTCATCAGGCTGGTGACACACGCTTACCCACTGGGCCATCTCACCTGTCCTGGTCTCTTGAGATCTTTCACTTACTCACACAGCAGAGACCCTTTCCAAATGAGGGCTGTGCCCACAGGTCCTAGGGCCATGGCGAACCCTCTATAGGAGATTACAAGAGAGAACCTCTCAGATGCTGGCATCACAGGTCGGCGTCACCACACCCAGGCTGTGTATCGCTGTGACCAACCCAGGGCTTTGCGAGTGCCAGGGGAGTACTTTGTCCCGCTGCCTGGCTCCTACACCCAGGGAAACACTTGGAAAAGCCCACCGTTTCACCCTGGATGAAATGACAGCCCTTAGCTGGGTGTGACGGTTCAGCACTGGACACCTAAGGTGGTGGATGGTCATGAGTTCCAGGCCAGGCCAGGCCAGGCTACAGAGAGAGGCCCTGTTTTAAAACAAACAAAACTCTTAACTTTGCTGTTGCCACAGTCCACATAGCTCAAGGAAGGGTTGTGGCATCTTGGGGAGGAGGTGAGGACTTTTTAGCTCCCAGACCCAGGCTTAAGGGGACAAAATGTTTTAGAACTTAAGGCCACCCAGCACAGCGGCGACACCACTGTGCTCCTGTACATAGCAGGCTTCCCAAATGAAAGCTATCTCACTCACCCAGTAATGAGTCTGGAAGGTGGATTAGAAGCAGTATCCGGGCACAGTCCTCTCCTACTAGGTGAAGACGACATTGTCCACATGAGTCCTACAGAGCCAACCTTTGAGTACGTCTTCTTCCCTTCATCCCTCTTCTCATTCATTTACTTA